CTCACAACAGACCTGGTTGAACTCCACTGGTAACGACTTCTCACTAGAACTCCAGAAGTGTCTCCTGAAGTCAGTCACTAGTGAGCAGGTGATTATTATTATCAGAATGGGTTTTGTGGAGATTTTAGAAATTTCACAGATTGAAATCATGAGTCAGTTGAAGCTAGACCACCATTGAAAACCTGGAAGCACTGGACGGCCGTTTCGTCCTAGTATGGGACTCCTCAGCAGTGCGCATCCACGACCCCGCACCACCCGGGGCTCGAACCCAGGACCTACTGGCTTCGCGCGCGAGCACTTAACCATTAGACCACTGAGCCGGCATCCAACGGGGTTAATGTCTAACTTCAACCAATCCACGAAGTTGCGCTACCGTACACCATTGTCCTCAGTGAGTTCCTATCTCACAACAGACCTGGTTGAACTCCACTGGTAACGACTTCTCACTAGAACTCCAGAAGTGTCTCCTGAAGTCAGTCACTAGTGAGCAGGTGATTATTATTATCAGAATGGGTTTTGTGGAGATTTTAGAAATTTCACAGATTGAAATCATGAGTCAGTTGAAGCTAGACCACCATTGAAAACCTGGAAGCACTGGACGGCCGTTTCGTCCTAGTATGGGACTCCTCAGCAGTGCGCATCCACGACCCCGCACCACCCGGGGCTCGAACCCAGGACCTACTGGCTTCGCGCGCGAGCACTTAACCATTAGACCACTGAGCCGGCATCCATTCTGATAATAATAATCACCTGCTCACTAGTGACTGACTTCAGGAGACACTTCTGGAGTTCTAGTGAGAAGTCGTTACCAGTGGAGTTCAACCAGGTCTGTTGTGAGATAGGAACTCACTGAGGACAATGGTGTACGGTAGCGCAACTTCGTGGATTGGTTGAAGTTAGACATTAACACCGTTGGATGCCGGCTCAGTGGTCTAATGGTTAAGTGCTCGCGCGCGAAGCCAGTAGGTCCTGGGTTCGAGCCCCGGGTGGTGCGGGGTCGTGGATGCGCACTGCTGAGGAGTCCCATACTAGGACGAAACGGCCGTCCAGTGCTTCCAGGTTTTCAATGGTGGTCTAGCTTCAACTGACTCATGATTTCAATCTGTGAGATTGCTGATTAACCTGAGTGCCAAGCTTTTAAAAATTCTCTGGTGTTTTTAGAATTGCCTCCATCCAAGATCTCTACATTCTTCCAGTCGAATGTGTGTTCACATGCATTGATGTAAGAGAGGATGTCATGGCGTTTGACCACGAATTGATGTTCAAGCAGGCGAAGATAAAGGGAACATACACTTCGTCCGATGTAGTTTATTTCGCAGTTGGAACAATTTGTAGATGATGCTCGGTTTTTCTTCTATCATCATTTCATCCTTTGGTTTCAATAGGATTGATTGAAGTGATTTCGTTGGTTGTCTGCTACAACTATTCCAAGAAACTTTTTAATATGCCTTTTATATATTGTAAGATGATCCGTTTGTTAGTTTCTGTACTTGACTTTTTTTCGGATGATACCTTTGTGAGTTATTGGGTTGTTGCTACTGTAATTGAGAATTTGATCTGTGTGTGTCGGCTTCAGATAAACTTGAGTCTCTAGTTTTCCTGTGTCGGTTCTGGTGATTAACACATTCAAGAATGATAGTTTTTTGTTTGGCTCCTGTTTTATCGTGAACTTTATGTCATGGAAGATGTCTATGATCAGTTTGAAGGTGTTTCCCAGCTCGCCCTTTTTGACGATGACGAATGTGTCGTCCACATAACGAATCCAAATTATTGGCTTGATCACTGGTAAGATCGAGGATTCCAGTCTATGCATCACTGCTTCTACAGTATGTCCTGATATAGGTGATCCCATTGGTTTTCCTTTCGTTTGTTCGTAGATTTAGTTGTTGAATTAGAAGTGTGTTGTTGAGCATAAATCTATGGGTTTTAGTAAACTTTGACTTTGGAGCTTCGTGTACTTTGGTAGATTTGTGTCGTTGGTGGAAAGCAGGGATAGTTTCCTTTGCTAAGCTTGGTTCAAATGAGGTGAGTAAAGCTGTTACAGCGACGGATATCATCAGTTCTAAATTGTTGATTTGAATGTCCTTAAGCTTATTCGGGAATTGTATGGGAGAATTGATGGAGTGGTTGGATGAATGTTTCAGTATCGGTGAAGTTTCTCTTGACAAATTGTATGTTGGGGTTCCAGGGGGTGATACAATTGGACGTAGTGGGATAATTGGTTCGTGTATTCTCGGCTTACCGTATAATCGAGTGAGTAGTGAACCACTGGATTTCATTCCCGATTGATCTTGCTTTGACAAGCTTATTTAAAGTCCATGAGATTTGGTTGTCTAAACTTTTGACTGGATATGTGTCCATTGATTTGTATACGTTCTTATGCTCAAGCAGTTCCTCAGCTTTCCTAACATATTATTTCTTGTCCATAATCAACGTGGTGTGTCCTTTGTCCGCTGAGACTATGACAATATCTTTTCTAGTCCTGAGTTTCTTTAAGGCTTTTTGTTCATGTGAGGTCAGTTGAGTGTTTCCTTTCCTCCGCCGAGTTAGCGGTACTATGGTTTGTCTTATTTCCTGTTGAGTTTCTTCACTTCTTCCGACGAAAGCTCCACGATCAAACCATCCAGCTCAAAGAACAAAACTCCACTAAAAATGTATTTAGGAATGATATTTAGGAATGCCCTGGTATGGCCAAGAGTGGGAAGGGCCCGCCCTACCTCTCGAAATGCTCTCACATTGTCACGCGTATACAGCCTCTGCCAGGGAAGTCCTACTCACTACCTTCTCTTGGCGGGAGTGTTGTTTACGAGGTTCACAGGACGAAAAGCGAATGTCCGGCACTTTAACCGGGTTCCAAACCAATGGTGTACAAGGGCTCCAGTAACCTATGGGAAGTAATGGCGTATGAACCAACCATTGGTCACCGGCTACCATGGGACTGCATCTCCTCACGATGCTCCACTGCCTTGTGGGTCAGACCTTTGGGTCGAAGGCTCGGGGTGTGACCCCCTAAGGAAACCACGTGCTTCGGTCTGAGCACCTGGGCAGTATCACAGCCCACACACAAATAGAACGAAACTTATATGGCCCATACATATATATGGTGCCCTCTTGTACCAATATTTATGTGTTCTAATAAAATAATGATATAAATGATATTCAGGAATATTCTCTGACAAGTTGTCTTAGAATAATTTACTTTCTTAGAATAAGGCTTTGATGTGCTGCGTTTCGCCAATTACTTGTTGACCACAGAGGAAAGATCATTAATACAATCCCAATAACATTTAATTATTGGGCTCAAATGAGAATAAAGATCTAAGTTATTTCATTAGAATCAAATGAATATTCGCTAATTTTGATTATTCATAACTTTCAGAACCTATAAAATTATTCTTCAAGAAAAATTAGGTTTAGAGTTCACGAGACAGATTTATGTTATGACGGACAACTGTAGATAACCTAGAATGATTAACTAAACAAATTATATATATTTCCATTTGACTAGGCAGTGATGATTATTGGTAATGCGAGTTCTTTACCTATTTATGCCACACTCAGTAGTGACAACTCAAAGTTTAGCGAGATTTACTTAAATAATTTGCGCTTAGATGTGTTATAGTCTTGTTTATTGTAACATTGTGAACGCGAACAGATGACGTTCATTCTCATGGTATTTTAACTTAAGTTATACATTCCAAATACAATTGACAGTTACAATTTCCTACATTCACTCAATAATGTATCACTACTGAGGTGGTGCTGAAAAGTTTCCAGAATTTATATATCTTCAGTACCCAAATATTTTTGAAGACCTCAAACTGTACTTTGAATCCTGATAAGTCTTGTCGATTGAACGCTATATTCGATTCCTAAGCCATTCTGATAACACGCAAGCTAGAACTACACAGCGACCTGAACACCAGAGAGAAGACGCAAAGTGTGAGAGAAAATACCTCATTCCAAGGTTTATTTATAGATGTTAGCGTTTGTTAAATCAACATCAAATTTCAGCCAATCCGTTAGCGACATATAGTAGCACGCCACGTTGGAATTCTAAAATGCTCTATTGTGCTGTGATTGGCTAGGACTTTTCGACTCCTTTTGGGCCTCTAGAGGCTCCGTTGAAGTTCTCCGAAAGGAGACTCAACAAATCCATGATTAGCAGCGTTATTTTCTCGAATGATTTGCTAAAGTCGTTTCAAGTAGATTTTTTGGACTCAATCGCGATCAGTCAAACAAAATGCAACACACTCCTTGTTTTCTAACTGAAAGTAAGATAGAACGAACATTTCAAATAACACATTGTGTTAGACGGAACAGGTACGAACCCAATTCAAATCAGTCTATAGACCAAAGGAATGATTTATTAAGGTAATAAGAAAATCCAAATGAAAATTTAACAGATAAAAACTACTAAGTTGAGGTGTGTTCTTTTTTTAATGTTCTGACTGAAGTGATTTTACTAGAATACCAGACTCTTTCACATTAAGAATTGAGACACCTAATGTCATATTGGTGAATTATCCTGACTGTAAAAAAATATTTACAGATTAGGGATCTAGTCCGATTCCACAAATCGAAATAATGTCACCTTCTACTTATAAATTTTCTATAGTTAAAAGTAAATTCATTCCAGCATTACCCTTTATAGATTATAACTTTGGAGTTAGAATAAACTCCATGTATATTTCAAACACATCATGCTCGTAAGTACGCAAAAACACAAAAATCGGATCAACAGTTATTTTTTATGGTGACCTGCATAGCTCAGAATTATGCTACATTATCTTTTATCCAAACACAATGAGACATCGGCGTCTAATCCCTCACAATTTTGAAAATAAGTCTGGTGAGTTACAGAAAAATCAAAACTATTACAAGTGATTCACATTTTTTTATTCGTAGTAATATTTCATAAAAAGAATACGTTAAAAAAGTACATGTTGTATTCGCAGAAAATAAAAACCATTAGTAAGTTATAAGAAAAGTATACTTTATTATCCGATTCCGTTAATTCTCTTTTTCTGATTTGTGTTTATGGTAGATGAAATCTTATTTGCTCGACGTGCCTTAAATTCAGCAAGTTTCACCAACCAAGCATCCCATGTGGAAGGATCAGATTTATCCAGCTGTAAATTTACACAAAAGAAAAGAAACGATTACTGTGTAACTAAAATGTTACTCTATAAATTAAATGATGACAATGTATGTACTAGAAAAAGAACGCTATTAAAAAAGTCATGTAGTCAATGAATAAGTTAATCAGTGGCTCATTTGTTAAGGCGTTAAATATTCATCTATTAAATTCCACGTTTGAACCCAACTATAGTCACTTTAGTTTAGGTAACTAAGTAGTATTGTAGTGAACACGGGTGGGGACAAACGGATGTATTTAGCACAAAAATTACAGACTATCTCAATAAAATCTGAATACCATAAAGTCAATCGTCAATTTGCAAAATATCAATGCATTATATCAAACTGAACTGTTTCCGTTGCAAACACTAATCCATTGTCTTCCATTCCATTGTACATGCGTTTTCTTACAAACTTCATTGTGTTCTCGCCCTACCTTTCTTGATCTTCGCCATCTTCTGCTGCCGGACATTACGTTCTTTTAACGCATGTTATATACTACTTATATCAATATAAGTAGCTCACACCACAGTATCAATATCTCTCCTAAAATGTGTAATGTGAAGTCAAGTACACGAATTTGAACTTGGTAAATGAATGAAAAAGCTATGAGCTAAAGGATAACATGATAAGGTATATACTTGTTATATATATAAGGTTTTTATCTTCAATAGTTTACTAAGATAAATTTAGAATACGCTGTAGAAATGGCTTTTGAAGAAGCAAGATACTGGATTTTTCCGGAAGTATGTATGCCATTGTACTGAATGACAAGACTTGAGAGATCAAACCATTCAGCTCAAAAAATTTAACAGCGACGCAGTCATTTCAGCTTTTTATTATACTTTGGAGTAAGATAAAAACAAGCATTTTTCACTAGTTAACTAACCAACGGATGAAATAATCTAAACGAATTTCGCTCTGCTTTGTAAACTGCTATCGAAAATGGAATGATTCCTAAAATAATTCTAGTAATTTCTTGAAAAAAAAGATATACCAACCTAACAAAAAAATAGGTAAATTTTGAAACGCTATTAATGATTTTCTCAGTATTCAGCACAAATGCTTTATGCTTCTCTCAATCGCAATGAATAAACGTCATTCAACGTCAAAGAATTTGCACAACCAATAATGTAACAGTATATTTCCGTTTGTTTCGTTGACTAATAAGTAATTTAGGTAAAAATCTAGGATCCCAGCGTGAATATTTCGTTAAAAATGGGATATAACAAGCACTTTCCTATTATTTACAACCTGTTTGCTGGTTTAGTTTGTAATTTAGCACTTCAAACACTGGAGCTTTTGAAATTAGGCGCTTAAGTCACCTTATTCTGTAAACTTAAATGATCTTGTATGAATAAACATATACAAATCTGTAGGTAGATAGATTTCGGTGTTAGTTATTATCACTATATACCCATCCCATTTTATGTACCATGAGTGTTACAATTCCACTGATAAACAGGATTGTATAAGTACTATGACGAGTTATCAGGTGAACATTTCAGATTACTAGTTGATCATTTGTAACGACAGAATAGTCGTACTGAATATCGTTTTCAGTAATTGACAGTTTAACTATATAACGAATAAAAAAACATAATTTACTAATAACTATGATATCGATTTATATTGATGTGGGGTTTTTAGGTTTTAGTGTATTAATTTTACTTGGAAAAATATAGATATATGTATTTTTTCTTAGAATCCAGTTGTTGGTTACTGAGTGGATACAACATAATGCCATAATTTAAAAGTAGTCAGTTTGATTTTATTTGTTTGCAAAGTATTAATTCTGATATGTTGTTGAGGTATATCTAAATTTTGAGTATTGATAAATTTATTAGCATTAATGAACTCAAATTCATGAAAGACTACAGTAAAGGACACGTCATGTGAGAAAACAAAGAAATATAATATTTGTTACTGAAGATTACCGAATGATGAAGTAGTTGCTTCACTGTATCCACAGAAGAAACTAGTTTATCTTTGCCTTCAGCTGGATCTGTACCAAGAATGGAAGGTAAAGGAACTGAAGAATGACCAAATATAGCCGCTTCATGTGCTCTTTCCATAATCATTGAAGAGTATTGACCTGAATTGACACCTGTCGACCGTGAATGTGAATCCGGATTCAGTAGCTAGAAACATCAAAAGATTATCAGGGTATATTTAATTATAATTATTGAGGTGATCTTTCCCATGGCGTAGATGCACTTTGATGCAAAGATTAACTTCTTGTAATCAACAAGAGAAATGATGTGAACAAGAGTAGATCAGATCCTCTTTGGATAATAGCCTGGTGATTACAAAGAGGAATTGTTCTGAAGGGTTCTGAATAGATATTCTGTTTATAAGTATATAACTTGATAACAAAACTGCCTGGATTACTTACTCGCTTGAAAGTTTTCCTTCAATTAGCCCCGAATAATTTAATAAACAGCGAAACTCTCATCCAGCTACAGAGGAAGATAACCTGTTTACGCATTAAATATCAGACAGAAAGGGAGCTCAATTAATTACTGGGAATCCCTATGCTTTACGTGAACAAAACCAAAGTAATTTTCCTGATAATTTAGTCTCGGAACCATTTGACTTGGTGCCGACGCAACTATAAGCAATTCAGTTGCCATATAGTTATTGGGCTGTAATTAAGGTACTTCGACCACTGATATTTTACATAACTCCTCACCATATATAAATATATTACACGTACATACATACTCACAATTTAGTAATAGGTTAGTTTTATCGATACACTTAAGATATGTTTACTAAACTAACTGTTCATCAACATTTAGATACACCGTTTTAAGTGTTCAACGGTAGGCAATAATCTGGAGGAAGTTCCAACTATAAATATTTTGTTTCGATATATTAATAGCGACTTGAAATGAAACTTTTGTTCCATCTGATATTTAACGCTGTTCAATCTAACTGTTACCGGGATTTATTAGTTGGGCAATGAAAACTAAGAACTTAGGTAGGTAATAAACTTTTGCAAGGTTGCAGATAGATCTTGATGATGAATAATCAAATGTAAAAAAACTGGGTCAATGGCTGCAAGAAAACAGATAACAACCCCATAGCAACAAGATAGGCTTAAATGAATATTCTTAGTCATACAGTCATATGGAAATTACAACCATAAGCAATTTTGTACAGTGTAAACCTACTGTGTCTTGTTTACGCGAAGACGAGAAACTTTTCTGTGTGAAACTTGAACCTTCGATGTAGCTAATCTCATTTTGTCGAGTTAATTCATTATCTGAAGAAAGCATCAAAGGCCTAAGAAAAGTAGCGTTAAAATTAGATAAACAATAAAAAAATTTAGATCTTACTTCATTTGAATGCGCAGTTCTTTGTCTTTATCACTGAAATAAAAAAGGAGTATATTATTTTGTATTAGAAATTTAGTACTTACACATATTTTTAAAGAAGTGTACTACCAAGTGACATAACTATAACAGGGTTCGCAAACCAAAATAAAAAACGTACATTTTGTAGATATAGATCTCGTACACGGAATCTATGTACACCACAGTTTACAGTGCCTTAGCCTACGTGGAATGTATAGTTTAATAAAAGCAGTCGACGGGTTTTAAACAATAGGTATGGGTAACTATACTAACATCTATTTGTCCGAAAGAATTAATTAGCATTTCCGATCGAGATAGATTGTGGTAATCCTTAACATTGAAAAGGGTACGAAAGTACATTGATTTACTGGACCCTTTTTGCAACACTTGGTCAAAATGCAGCTTACAGAAAGCTACTAATTGATCGAGTACGTCAAGTAGTGTCTGTTACAGTTGTACATTCTTCGCATTTATAGATGCTTTATCGGTCAGTCAGTGAATGAAACGCAACGCAAAATTTGGCACATGTGCACATAGATACTTTAACCCAGACATGTTTCTAAAGTTAACCGTTTACATCTAAACTTTGGTTGATCAGTCTACTATCTGGAGCTTACCTCCTTACCCTGTAGTACAGAGATGATGTGTTTCTGTCTGACGAAAACGGTAAGTATTGAGTGGTAGTGAAAAACGTCTTTTGATGTGTTTTTCTTACCCTTATTGATAAAGTTTGCTTTAGGACAAGCTTGTACGGAAACTCAACTTATCCGTAGATAATGAGGCACTTTAGTATATTGAACATAAATAAAAATTAATTATACTTACTGTGAACGTGAGCGGCTATCCCGTCGATGTTTGCGTGAGGAACCGTGCTTTTCATGATCTTCACTAAAAAACATGGAATAATGTTATGTTAACATCCACAAAACAAAATCTACCAGTATGAATAAATCGGTCATTTTGTGGGAGAATATCTCTACACTACAAAAAATGCCGTGACGTAAACGTTTATCAGTACACAGGAACACAAAACTTTATTCAGTCAGTCAGTTACAACGTAGGACCAGGCATCGGTTCAAGTTATCATACCTCATTAGCACTGCAAGATGAACACCAAATTTATAAAACCAATCAACTCAATGGTTTAACATATAAAGGAAAGATTGCAGGATGAAAATTAGTTCATAGAAAGAAAGATATGAAATAATTTTAGTCTCATAGTATAAGGGAAGACAGAGAGTGGATATACCTACGCCATTGTGATCGATTCTGAGCCATGTCACCAAGAGTCTCCAACCATTCGTTACGATAGTCACGCAGACCCCAACCAAGTAGTCTGCACCTATCAACATGGCTCAGACTAGAAGTTAGTGACTTCAAGCACTGATGCTACGTTTTGGTTTGGCCACCCCTAACTTTCTTCCAACCGTCTCCAACACCGGTTAGCATTGCGCGTCGTGGTAATCGGTGTTCAGGCATACGTAACACGTGGCCCGACCATCTCAGTCGATGAAGATTCAAAACCTCATCAACTGATTTACCATCCTTTCCTAATACCCTGCGTCTAACCTCACTATTACTCACCCAGTGATCCCAGCAGATGCGAGCAATATTTCTAAGGCATTTGTGGTCAAATACTAGTAGCTTACGAGTGTCTTCTACTCTTAATGGCCATGTTTCGCTACCGTAAAGTAAAACAGAACGGACTGCCGCGCAGTATACTCGTCCTTTTATTGATAGACGGATATCTCGCCTTCGCCACAGGTGACGTAAGTTGGCAAAAGCCAAGCGAACTTTTCGAATCCATGCTGAGATTTCGTCAGACACCAGCCCATTAGGGCTGATCAGACTTCCAAGATAAGTGAAGTTGTCAACGCGTTCGAAGTTCAAATGACTATGGCTAATCTGAAACGAGGTAGGGCAGCTGGTCAAGATGGATTGGCTCTAGAGGTCTTTAAGGATGGTGGTCCAATTTTAGCGACTAGGTTGACTAATATTTCAGCTAAGATCTGTGAGTTAGACGTTATTCCATCTGACCGGTCACAATCACCTATCGTCCCAATATATAAGAGAGGGTTGAAATCGTCCTGTGACAACCATAGAGGGATTAGTTTAACTAATATAGTATCTAAAATACTAGCCTCGATAATTATCAGACGCCTAACTAGGACTCGTGAACTGCAAACACGCGAGGATTATGCTGGCTTCAGACCTGGTCGTGTCTGCATTGACCACACTTCACCATTCGTCAGGTTCTAGAACATAGGCACACTTATCGGCGTCCGACGATGGTGGTCTTTCATGACTTAAAAGCAGCATTTGACTCGGTAGACCGCGAGATTCTGTGGCAATGTCTGGCATTGAAAGGCGTACCCCAGAAGTACATAAACCTTGTAAAGGCTGTTTACTCGAACACTACTAGTCGAGTGAGAGCTTATGGCGAACTGTCATCTAGTTTTGCAACCTCAAGTGGTGTCCGTCAAGGATGTCCACTTTCCCCATTTTTGTTTAACTTCATCATAGACCTACTGATGGAAATAACTTTCTCGTCGACTGAGTTCTCGGGTATTGATCTCTTTCCAGCAGGTCCACTTATCGACTTAGAATACGCAGATGACATAGTCCTGTTTGGTGAAGACGCTGACAAAATGCAAAGTCTTCTGGTAGCACTGAGCAACAATGCCAGAATGTTTGGAATGCGCTTCTCTCCCTCGAAATGCAAGTTGTTGCTTCAGGACTGGTCTGCGTTAACACCTGAACTAAGGATAGGGAGTGAAGTAGTCGAACGCGTTGACAACTTCACTTATCTTGGAAGTCTGATCAGCCCTAATGGGTTGGTATCGGACGAAATCTCAGCACGGATTCGAAAAGCTCGTTTGGCTTTTGCCAACTTACGTCACCTGTGGCGAAGGCGAGATATCCGTCTATCAATAAAAGGACGAGTATACTGCGCGGCAGTCCGTTCTGTTTTACTTTACGGTAGCGAAACATGGCCATTAAGAGTAGAAGACACTCGTAAGCTACTAGTATTTGACCACAAATGCCTTAGAAATATTGCTGGCGTCTGCTGGGATAATCGGGTAAGTAATAGTGAGGTTAGACGCAGGGTATTAGGAAAGGATGGTAAATCAGTTGATGAGGTTATGAATCTTCATCGACTGAGATGGTTGGGCCACGTGTTACGTATGCCTGAACACCGATTGCCACGACGTGCAATGCTATCCGGTGTTGGGGATGGTTGGAAGAAAGTTAGGGGTGGCCAAACCAAAACGTGGCATCAGTGCTTGAAGTCACTAACTTCTAGTCTGAGCCATGTTGGTAGATGCAGACTACTTGGTTGGGGTCCGCGTGACTATCGTAACCAATGGTTGGAGACTCTTGGTGACATGGCTCAGAATCGATCACAATGGCGTCGGTGTATACACTAGGTTTCTTCCCTTAAACTAAGAGATTAAAAGCGCTTCACATCTTTCTTTCTACTAACCAATTCTTTCTTCTTGTACTATATCTCTATATGCAATCTTTCTCTCATATATTACCACCTTTTACCTAACCACTGTTATGAATCCGGTGTTCATCTTGTTGTGCTGATGCGGTATGGCAACCTGGACCGATGCACATAAGTGCATGGTTCTACGTTGTAGCTGACTGACTGACAACGCGTTCGACTGCTTCACTCCTTATCCTTAGTTCAGGTGTTGACGCACGCTAATCCTGAAGCGACAACTTGCATTTAGAGGGGGAGAAGCGCATCCCAAACATCCTGGGATTGTTGCTCAGTGCTACCAAAAGACTCTACATTTTACCAGCGTCCTCACCAAACAAGACTATATCATCTGCGTATTCTAAGTCGATAAGTGGACCTGCTGGAAAGAGATCAATACCCGAGAACTCAGTCGACGAGAAAGTTATTTCCATCAGTAGGTCTATGATGAAGTTAAACAAAAATGGGGAAAGTGGACATCCTTGACGGACACCACTTGAGGTTGCAAAACTAGATGACAGTTCGCCATAAGCTCTCACTCGACTAGTAGTGTTCGAGTAAACAGCCTTTACAAGGTTTATGTACTTCTGGGGTACGCCTTTCAATGCCAGACATTGCCACAGAATCTCGCGGTCTACCGAGTCAAATGCTGCTTTTAAGTCAAGAAAGACCACTATCGTCGGACGCCGATAAGTGTGCCTATGTTCTAGAACCTGACGAATGGTGAAGTGTGGTCAATGCAGACACGACCAGGTCTGAAGCCAGCATAATCCTCGCGTGTTTGCAGTTCACGAGTCCTAGTTAGGCGTCTGATAATTATCGAGGCTAGTATTTTAGATACTATATTAGTTAAACTAATCCCTCTATGGTTGTCACAGGACGATTTCAACCCTCTCTTATATATTGGGACGATAGGTGATTGTGACCGGTCAGATGGAATAACGTCTAACTCACAGATCTTAGCTGAAATATTAGTCAACCTAGTCGCTAAAATTGGACCACCATCCTTAAAGACCTCTAGAGCCAATCCATCTTGACCAGCTGCCCTACCTCGTTTCAGATTAGCCATAGTCATTTGAACTTCAGCTAGAGTCGGTGGACCTAATTCAATGTTCCATTCACGCTGTCTGAGAAGGGTGGGTAGCTTTAGAGTAGCTGAAGGTCAGCTGAACTGCTCCTTAAAGTGTTCCGCCCATCGTTCTAAACGTCTGGACTGGGAGCAGATAAGAGCGTCGTCTTTTTCGGAAATAGTCTGACTTACACTTGACTTCTTAGTTCCAGTTTCTTTTATTAGTCTGAAGAGCTGTCTGGTGTTACCTACAACGTCCGCCTTTTCCATCTCTTTTGCTTTCGTTGCCCACCTGACCGTTGTTGCTACCTTGACGTGGTGGTCGGGCTTGCCTATCGTGATGAAGCAACCGAGCTATATTGGCTGGAACAACCGTTTCTCAAGGTCCTACCATGCCAGACAGGTCGGTTGAAGAGCCGTAAGACTAAAAGCAGCAAACCCAAGCTACGGAGGCGAAGTCGTACTGCTGACTGTACAGAAGCGTGACAGCAGTAAGGTGTTTCCTTTAGGTAGCCAGCATGACAGCGATGTTGCCTTCCCACAAAGAGAAGTGGGGTTTGAAAAGGTCATCTCTAAAAACGCACACCTCGCCTTATCCCACGGATATCCGTCTTCGGCGGTAAGGTCTCAACAAGTACGGAGCTAACACAAAAATTACCCATAAAAAGGTTGTCTGTGACCGACCTCAAGCAGTTGTCCCTTGGGCACTGCGGTCACGCTCTCAGGCCACTAAGATAATCTCTAATCCAATTTCCTTTTCAGGTACCTCCAGAAGAACCTTCCCACGGTGTAGGCAACCGGGAAGTGATAACCGCCCTCATACCTCTAACAGCGCTCAAGACCACTGTTCCACAGATGAATATAAATTATTAAAGAGATCTGTGACAGACTAGCCACCACAAGTGAGAAAATAGCATTCAGACGTAGTTCTTGAATAAGATGCAACAAATGTTTAGCATCATTCAAAAGGCAAAGCCAAGAAGTAATGTTTCCTGTAAGTGAACAAGAAAAAACCTTAAATTATCCGTTTCAAATGGAATACTATATCCATAAACGTGTAGGTTATTCACTTCACGAAAGGCTGATAGTGAATATGATCAGGCGTTATTTGCAAAGTATTTACTTGTGCACTTCAGGAAGTTATACACATTTAAATGTAATAATCCTTAACATATATATTGATGCATCTATATGTATATATTATAATGACGGAAGAATGCATCAAAAAACATTAATTTATGCATTATGAAATGACGAAGAATCGCGAATAAATTTAATGACTCAATTAGCTTGTCAAAGAAGAAATCTGCAACATAGCAGAAGTCGAATTAGATACGTTTGCAAGTCATCAACATGTTGAACTACATAGTCCAAAGCTAAAAATGACATTCCATTTGAAATTTTGCAATTATTAGTCCTAATGAAAAAAATGGAGATAACCCGGAAAAAAATTTATCGACTGGTTTTCAGTTAAGCGTTGACTTTAAAACAACAAATTTTGCAAGGAGTTTTGACATATAAAACAATAAATAAAGCTTTAATCTTTTTTTAGAAGAATTCCAGTCATCAAATTTTCCGATAATCATTATGGAATAAAAACGGAAATTATCCGTAACCGGCTCACTGATTTCTTTTGCTCATCGCAACCTTGAGAACAAGAAGCCCTCCAAAGCTGATAGGTATTAGTTACATTTCAAATGGTTCAAATGATTGAAGACAAAGTAGAGGAAGCTTTCGCTTAACAGGCTTCCGTGTCTAGTAGCAGTAGATCACCAAAACCTCTGGGCAGGAACCTAGATTAGTTGACAATAAAAGAGGAAAAAGAAATTGGTAAATCATAGTATGATACTATCCTTAATCCTTAAGAATAGATCAAGTTGCCTCTTAAAGGACTCCTGGGATGTCGCTTGAACTAGCTCAGTCGGCAGCGAATTCCAGCATTCGATAACTCTTAAGGAGTAGAAGTTGAGTCTACAGTCCATTCTGCTATGCTGTATCTCCTATTTCTGAGTGTTATCCCTTAGAAATTTCACAAGTTGAAATCATGAGTCAGTTGAAGCTAGACCACCATTGAAAACCTGGAAGCACTGGACGGCCGTTTCGTCCTGGTATGGGACTCCTCAGCAGTGCGCATCCACGATCCCGCACCACGCGGGGCTCGAACCCAAGACTTATTGGCTTCGCGCGCGAGCACTTAACCACTAGACCACTGAGTCGTCATCCGACGGTGTTAATGTCTAACTTCAACCACAAAAACCCATTCTGATAATAATCAACTGCTCACTAGTGACTGACTTCAAAAAAAACTCCTGGAGTTCTAGTGAGAAGCCGTTACCAGTGGAGTTCAACCGGTCTGTTGTGAAATAACAACTCACTGAAGACAATGGTGTACGGTGGCGCAACTTCGTGGATTGGTTGAAGTTAGACATTAACACCGTTGGATGCCGGTTTTCAATGGTGGTCTAGCTTCAACTGACTCATGATTTCAACTTGTGTACTTTCTTAAACTCTCCACAAAAACCCATTCTGTTATCCCTTAGGTTGGTACTAGGACCAAGCATAAGTAGGTGTTTAAGAGGATGTCCAGAAGTGTTAAGGATACTGTAAACCATTGAAAGGTCACCTCCAAGTTGTCTGTACTTCAATGGGTAAAGTTTAGGTGATTGGATGTGCTCTTCATAAGGTTTAAATTTGAGTCCTCGAACTGATTTCGTGGCTCGCCGTTGGATACGCTCCAAAGTGTCCTTATCCTTTTGAAGTGAGGGAGGAAATGCTATGTTTTCATACTCTAAATGGGGACCGATAAAACTATTGAAGATTATGTGGAAAGTTCTTCCGTCCAACTGCCGAAAATGCGTTTCAATGTTACCAGTTCAAGGTTTGCTCAGACGGCATTTTTGTCACAGTTAGCGTAAGACTTTAAATCCTAGGCCACCAAGACTCCTAAATCTTTTTCGACTTGAGATACTACTAGAGGGGAGTTATCTAAGTTAGAACTGTAGTCTGCGACATGTCACAGATGGATTACTTTACACTTTGAAATGTTAAAGGTAAGTCCGTTATCGTCTGACAACTTTGAAGTCGAGTCAGATCCTCCTGAAGTGCCTGTATATCATCTTGTTTGCGTACCTCTCTCCAAAATATCACGTCATTGGCTAAAAGTAATACGTCTGATGTTACCTGTTGAGGAGGATCATTTATGTAGATCAAGAAGAGGAGAGGTCCTAGTACTGAGCCCTGAGGGACCACACTAGGACATTCCATAGCCTGAGACAAAGTGAAATAAAATCTGACATTAAAATGTCGATTATTCAGGTATGAAGTGAACCAATCGATTAGAGGTGGTTTGATACCCAATCGTTTGAGCTTATCGATAAGACATGTATGGTTAACCTTATCAATAACTTTTGAGAAATCTAGGTAGATGATATCAACCTTCCCCTTGCGGTCGAGGATGCTTGTCCATCTGTCCACCGCAGTCAGCAGGTTGGTAATACAAGAGGAACGCTTCCTAAAACCATACTGTTGGGGTGAGAAGAAATTTATGAACAGTAAATAGTCATTTATACCGTCGCATATTGGGGACTTCATGAATTTTGAAGGTATTGAGAGGAGAGCAACCGGTCGGTAACTTGAAGGTTCGCTGCGTCGACCTCCTTTGAAAATTGGTGTGATGTGAGCCATCTTTCAATTTTCCGGCTTAGCGAGTCTGAGAACATCACGCTAGGCGTCGTTGCCAGGATTGAGGCTGCTTCCCTCAGTATGGCAGAATGGACCATATCCGGGCCGGGAGAAGTGTTTAATTTTAAGTGCTGCAGTTCCCGGAACACCAAGTCAACGCTCAATTTCACTACGGAAAGTCCTATGGAGTTGCAGATGAAGCTTTCACCAGCATAGTTGACGTGGGTCGGTTGAAATGTCCGAGAGTATTGTCCAGCCAAAAGTTTAGCGGCGTCGCCATCGTTTTTGTCGGGCCGTTGAGACCTAGCAGTTGGGAAACTCTAGTTTTGGCTTGACGAAGAGATGCTGCATAACGTAATAAGCTTTTTGGATTAGAGACAAATTTATCCATAACCTTTGTCTGGTACTGAAGCCTGTCTTTTCTTATAGCCTTCGTGTATATGATCTTTATATATTTGTTGTTACTTCGTTTTTATTCTGCCCAACAGTGCCTTTTGCAGCTTAGCAGGCGAAGAGTACTGTTCTTGATGATTGTAGGTTGCTTGTAGCTTTTGGGGACCGTTTGAGGAATTGACTGCTTTGTAGCACATAAGAGCGTGTGCAGTAAGAAGTCCCAATGAGTATGCACATTGAGTTGAGGGTGAACATCCCAATCCACTTGTTGTAGATAGTCCTGTAGAGCTGACACATTCAACCGTTTGAAATTTCAGCGCATGCTGTTGGTGGGATATCTTAGCTCAGTTTTGCTGACGAAAGTGAAAGCTATGACAGCATGATCGCTTTTTCCTAGGAAAGCCAGGATTGACAGGTTGTCAACTAAGAATTCTTCGTTTGTAAATACACAGTCTAAGTGTGTTCGATTTTTCGTGAGTAGATATAACAACATCAAATGATTCTGGATAGAATAGAATAAGATTTCTCTTCTCGTTCTTCCGTGAATAGTATTAGAGTATCACTGATGCCTCCAGGTAGGAACCTGGGTATATTTTATGATGAACAGAGAAATAGTAGTGAATTGTGTGACACTGTCCTGGGTTTTGATTGATATGTCAAATCTACCACGAAAGCACACCTGAGAACTCTCTTGAACTACCTTAATCACCAGGGAATTCTCGAATTTGTCTACTTATAAAGAGTAAAACGTGCCTTGTCGTAGTAAGCGTAAGACTTTAGATCACAGGGTACCATAACACACCTTGATCCTTTCCGACTTAGTGTACCTTTAGAAGGGACTTATTAATATACAGTCCACAACGAGTCTTAGAAGGTCTACTTTAAATCTTGAAGTGTATATAGTAACTCCGTAGTTATCAACCAAACTTTGAAGTCCAGCCAAATCCTCCCGCCATGTCAGCTTGTCATCTTGCCTGAGAACTCGCCTACGAAGTTTAATATGGTCAACAAAACGCAATATATCAGACGGTTCTTGCTGAGGAAATTCATTTTGCTAAATTGAGAAAAGTAGAGGTCCTAGAGCTGAGCCCTGAGAGACACCACTGGGATATTTCGTAGCCTGATAAAAAGTGAAAAACACTATAAACATAAAATGTCGAATAAGAAGTAAGCAAATCAATTAATAGTGATTTGACACCGAATCATCTGGGCACGTTAATAGATGATGATATATGATTGAAATTTGACGCAATTAGTCCTCTCGATAATTTGACTTATACTCCTAGTCTGGTTGACCTTTTATTTTTGTATATAAATGTTCTCAACAGGTTTATGTGTGATCAGATTGTTTGAAGTGTATTGCGCTGATACATTGCATAGTTCTGATAATCTTTTTGTATCAATTTAATATTGCCTGTAAACTGACATGCCTCATGGAAAAAACTGTTATTTGAGAATAAATTATTATTATTATTATTATTATTATTATTATTATTATTATTATTATTATTATTATAAGGACGGTTCTCTATCTGCGCAATAGGTTGCGAATGCAATGATGAAGCTCCGTGAAACCGTTCTTTTGGGGTGAAAGGAAGTTTGTGAACAGCAAGTAGTCACGCAGACCGTCGTCTATCCAGGACCAAATAACATTCACAACTGATCGATCAATTAGTGTTGATCAATGTCATGTGTTTCAAGTCCTTCTTAGTGCAGATCGAATGCTATCGACCACGTTTCAATGTGGTCAGTCTAGGTGACTCGACATTGCGTGCACCATGTTGAGATTAGATGGTAGTTAGAGGTAGCCAACAGGAAACCCTGAACCCGGGTTTCGTGCTACTTGGCTCTCGTCAGTAAGGTGTACCTGTGGTCTTGAGGGAACTGATGCTCCTTGACGGATTCGATCCCGTGCCACCTAGACTGGTGGACACATTGCAACATGGTCGATGACATTCGATCTGCACTAAGAAGGACTTGACACACATGACATTGACCACCACCAAGTGCTCAGTCAATTGTGATTACATCAGCACTACAGAAAGTTGGTCGCGGCCCGGACAGCTCAGCGGTAACGTCTCTGACTATGAAGCAGAATGACACGGGATTAAATGAGTCAGGGAGCACCGTCCGCTCGAGAATACTGGTACGCCTTGCTGAAGAGTGTCAAGTAGCACGAAATTTAGGTCCAGGGTTTCTTATTGACTATCCCCAAACACTATTTAATACCAAATAATTTTCGAGGGATTTTTCGGAAGAAATGCTACTGGCCAATAACATCTATGTTCAGATTATCTGTCTGATTTGAAGACCGATGTAATGTGGGCCAGATTCCGATTTCCTGGCATAGTGCCTCCTCATAGCGAATGTGAGAACGTCACGCAAAGCGGTGGTGCCAAATTTGAAGTTTCTTCTCTCAGTATAGTAGAATGAACTATATCCGGGCCGGGAGAACTATGTGTGTATGGATGCTGCAGTTTCCGCTACGCCAAGTCAGCGAACAGGTTCACTACTGAGACTCATATAGAATCGCAGGTGAAGGTCTCATTGTTATGATTAGTATGGATCTATTGAAATGTCCGAAATCACTGTTCTGTCAGAAGGTTGGCAGCGTCTGTTTTGTTGTCGGATGGGCCATTCGAACCTGACAGTTTGGGAACGTCGGTTTCGCTTTGTCGACTGGAGGCTACATGATTGTGTAAACTTATCGGATCGTAAACAAATCTATGGATTAGCTTTATATGATTATTTATCGTTTATTAATTTTTAACAAATAAATATTGGAACAAGAGGGAACCAAATGAATATGCGCCAAACAAAACAATTAGAATGGGAAGAGAACAAAAAAGTTAAGGAGTGTAAAAGAAAAAGAATAACGAACAGATTAGTGTAAGGTAGTGTAATAATAATAATGGTAGTAGTAATGGGAGAAACGAAAAGCACAATCAGAAGAGGTCCTTCAATTAAGTACAGTGTTACCACTGGATGTCGACAATCATTCGGAGACAGCGATGATCAGACACAGAGAGTCGTCTAACATCCTCAACTCGGAGAGACCAGGTTTCACAAGCATAGATCAAAACTGCTATCACTGACGCGTTGTAGATCCAACCCTTCACAGCAAGACTAACATCATGAAGGCGCCAAAAAAGGCCTAAATTGGCATAAGCCACTCTGGTTTTCATTTTACGTGAATTGGTATTGTCGCTGATATCACTACCAGCACTTATGTAGCCACCTAGATACACGAACTTCTCGACTACTTCTATCTGCTCACCTTCCAGGGTGAGTACAGGATTAGAATCCTGCCAGTCTTGTAGAAGTATTTTGCTATTCGAAGGTGCAAAGCACATACCGTACCTACGGACACTGGTTGCAAACTGATTAAGTGCGGATTGCATGCCTTGGGCATTATTGCATAGTAAAACGACGTTATCCGCATACTCAAGGTCGAGAAGTCTAGCTCCAGGCAACAGATCCACACCACCATTACTTACATCCATCAGAGCTGTTTTCAGAATGTCATTGATGGCAAAGTTGAAAAGGAATTTTGAAATCGGATAACCGTATCTGACTCCACTGCTTGAATGGAACAATGTAGAAAGGTGAATGTATGCCCTTACCCTACCTGCGTGCTTGTATATAGGCCTTTAGGATGTTAATAAACTTCTCAGGCACACCCTTATTTAACAGACAATCACAGAGAACAGTCCTATCCAACGAATCGAAGACAGCCCTGATGTCAAGAAACTCTACGATTGTTGGCCTCTGATAGGTATGATGGTGTTCTAAAATTTGGCGGAAGGTGAAGATATGATACATTCTCGACCAGAACGAAAACCAGTCTGCTCCTCTCAGGTCAGTCTTTCTTGAGTTTTTAACAACCTACGAAGTATGACAGAAGCTAATAGTTTGGACACAATCGGAATGAGACTTATCCCCCGATAATTGTTACAGGAACGACGTGAACCCTTTTTAAAGATAGGGACAATCATCGACTCATTTGGTGACGTTGGTACACTCTCTAGCTCCAAGACCTTTGTAAATAACGCCGTCAATTCCTTAGTCAGAAAGTCACCACCATCTTTAAAAAGAGCCAGAGGTAAGTTATCTGAGCCAGGTAATTTGTAACGCTTCGAGAGTTGAAGTTCCTTGAGGACTTCCGCGTCGTTTGGTGGATCAGTCGTCACCGGCCATGGAGGGCAGGACAGTCTGATCGATGTTGCTAGAGAAGACCTGTTGAACTGTTCTTCGGAGAATTCTGCTCATAGTCCAAGACGTTGATGGATGTTAGTGATTGGCATCATGTCATCCTCACAGATTGTTTCGCTCACACCAGACTTCTTGCTGCCAGTGGCTCGGATGAGTTGGAAGAGCTTCCGGTAGTTACCAGATGCAGCTGCTGCTTCCAGCTCATTAGCACGCTCCGACCACCAGGCTTCTCGGTCCTTACGCAAGCTTTGCCCGATTTTATTACGTAACATCCCTCGTTTGTGGTCAAAATCACGGTCACCCGGAGTAGACAGACGGGCCTCGATGAGTTGTAAGGAGCCTGAAGAAACTCAGTGCCTATGAGCGAGACGTTTCGCGAACCCACAACTGACTGTATCCGCCATTTTCATAGCGTCATGCAATTGCGACCAATGCTCATCTACACTTTTCGGTGGAATGATGAAAGTCCAGATAGGTACTCCAAAAGGAGCGGCAATCTTGTGCACAACCATGCCAGCGGTAGCTGATCGCGATGTGATCAATCTGAGTCCAGGCTTGAGATGAAGAGGGAGGACGCCAGGTGGCACATCGGCGATGACTGTGCCGAAAGTTAGTGCTAGCCAGAAACAGGTTGTGGTCTGTGCACAGTTGCAATAGATGGACACCGTTATCTGTCCTGAGACCAACAAGTCCCCATCGACCATTTAAACGACTCTCTTTTGTGCCTAGACGCGCGACCTGAAAATTCAAGTCTCCGGCTAGTACCACGATATCGGTCTAACGCACTTTCTGGAGAAAAACAGTTAGCTTGATTGCATCTGGGCTGCATTGTCGGGGCATAGACGGAGATGACGAAAAGACATCGTTTCTCAAGCTGATTCCATCTCACTTTGATGGAACTTTCTAATTTAACAGCACAATTTGTAGTATTTCACCAGAGTCTTGAATACGGGTCACGGATAGACATTAAACGTCGATATTAAGACTTTCCAAAGACATAGCCAGCCCTCTCTGTTGTCCGACCTGCATGAGTGTGCGAGCGTTGAAGGTAGCCAGGTTGAATGGTGCATGTGGTTTCAGAAAAACTACTTCAGTATTCGTATTTGGTGGTAGCACACAATTTTCAACCAGGCAGTGACTCGAGGTCGTTTAGATAGAACCAAGTTTCCACCATAGGCGAGCTGCTGTACAAGTAGAAAAATAAGGTTACATAAAGTGGGAATAAAAGAGAGTGAATAAGCGACATGGTAAAAAATAATAATGTGAATTGTTTGACTGTTAATCGAATCGTGAATAGAATTTTCATTTTTATGTGTGTGTGAGCTGTCATACTGTCCAGGTGCCCAGACCGAAGCAGGTTTTCTTAGGGGGTCACACCCCGAGCCTTTGACCTGAAGGTCTGACCCACAAGGCAGTGGAGCATCGTGAGGTGCAGTCCTATGGCCAATGACCAACGATTGGTTCATACGCCATTTGTTCCTCCAGGATATTAGAGTCCATGTGCACCATGAGTTTGGTATCCGGCTAGAGCGCCGCTTATTCGCTTTCGTCTTCTCAACTTCATAAACAACACCCCCGCCACGAGAAGGCAGTGAGTAGGACTTCTTTGGCGGACGCCGTGTACGCACGACAGTGTGAGGTCATTTCAAGAGGAAGCGAGAGTGCACCCCACTCCTGGCCATACCACGGCATTTGAGGGCTCTTGATGAAGACTGTTGAGAGGCGAAGTAGGCTGTGAGAAAATTAGAAGCATAAGAAACAAAAAATGGCATTAATCCATGAGCGAATTAAATATCAATTTGAGGAACTTTGGTTGCGATTCCCGAGATCTTTATAATCACCAGTCGGGAACATCATGCAGGGTGTAAATATCGGTCAACTTGTCAGATGCACCCACTCTTGACCTACATCTCAACCACGAAGTAGGAAATCACCTTATTTTTGTAATTCCACATATATATTCTTTTCTTATATTCTAGTGAAGATTAAATTACGAGTAACTTCTTAGGACTATTATTATATATATACCCTTATTGTATTACTGTTCAGTAACTAGATTATGTATATCTATATCCCTCTTATTATAAGCTTCATTTTGATCTATAGATTATTATTATACAAAGTACTGTTCTTAAGTTATGTCCAGTTTATTGATTAATCTCCCACGTTCACAGCCACTTTTTGGCTTTATCTTTTACAAATATTATTTCCTATTTATGGTGTGATGCGGTATATAAACCAAGTATGTTTGAAATGAATGATTCGTATAGTGGAAACTGTTATTGGCGTTTTGGACGAACAAAGGACCAATAAGGACGCTAGCGTGCTCATACCAGTCGGATGTCATTGGTTTAGCACAGTACTAAGTTTGAATAAGTTGTATTTCGATTGGCAAACAAACCACATCATAACTAGCCGAACTTAAAGTCACAACAAAACCTTTATTATAGCTAATACCATTTTGGTATTCATCATAACGACTTCATCTACCTGTACTAGTATGACGAACAATCTGAGACGATAAATATTTTATCAGGTTATTACATTCCTTAAGTCTAAATTAACTAATACCATAAATGAGCTTATTTATATACTGAGAATCAAATGAATAAATGATTTTACAGTGAGAAAGCTGATGAATAATTTATCCCAGAAAAGTAAGAATAGAACCAATCACAAAAATATCAAAAGGAAATAAGAACACAGATTAACCTCGCTCTTCATTTGTGTTCGAAAACTTTTTTAATAAAGATAATAGAAGTACAAAAAATGTTTTAAAAGCATTTTCTATGTAAATTTTAAAAAAAAGAAGATTTTTCCACTTGCATATACATATCCAGTTTTAAATTGAACGATTTGTGAAGATTAACTATTGAGCTGTATGTAGATTTTTTATCAAACAATCTATACCATTACTAATGTAGACTTTATTTAGTTTTCAATACTAGTCACAGAATGTGAGATCTTTGTGTATAAAAAATGAGCCACAGGATAAAAGCGAGAAACGTTTTTGTATATAGGAACGTTTGTATGAAAAAATATTTATGTAAATAAAATGTTTATACAAAGAATATTCAATATTAGTTTTTAGTAAAAAGAAAAATAAAGCATGTTAAGGGTTTTTAGTAATATGCGAAATAAGCAAACATATCAACCGGATCAGAAAGTAAATGGCAATTGGGTTTAACTGTAACATATCAATTGTGATAATTCCACATAGATGCATAAATGAGGCTAAAGAAACAATATTTCTTCGTGTATATAGAAATACAATACATACATTCAAGCTGCATTTGTCTCTTCAGAAGCGCATAAATGTAGAGAATTTAGATTCGGTACGAAATTCTCTAATGTATTCCATACAGCTTCTGTTATAAAGTATAAAAAATAGAAGTACATATATATTGAGTATTACTGTAGTCAGCAATGATGGTTAACATTAAAACTCATAACTATTTAACCTGGATGAAATAAACGAGAATTAGTTGGATATAGCATTATATTTTTTCTGATAGTCCTTTGGTTTCAAATGTATAATCGGTATGTAGATCGGGAGACTAAACCTAGAATGCTATCAATATGATTTAATATTCTATATCAATTGTTTGTAATACTTCCACGAAAGTTGTGTTTTGTAAACCGGTTTACTTAGTTAAAGATAGAAGAGACACTGATACTGTGATTAATATGTGAAAACTGACTCCAGAATTTCGAATAATGTACTGATTCATACATGTAGTGTAATAATTATATTTTTTGCTTCCATGTTCAGATTACATTACAATACGCTTTCATCTTAAAAGTATGCTGACAATATAGTTATAGTCTCCAGTCAAATATGACGTTAACTAGAATATGGAACTCGAAAGTTCGCAAACATATTGTTATGAACATAGGAGTGTGAGGCGTGAATAGTAAGCGAATGTATACAAAGTCAAGTCGCCACAAATAGCAATGGACAAACCAGTTTGAAGGCATAAACACTAAAAGAATAAATTTTCCTACAAAACACTTTAAAGAATACTTCTAACAAGTAAAGGACATTTTGATTACATACATGGAAGAATTAAAAGTGAATGAATGGTAAAACATACAGAGATATTAAATACCTTTTAACTGATCTAAAGATACATTACTATCGTCTTGAAATGGATCATCGAATCTCTCTGCAATCGGTTCATCTGATTCATCATGATACGTTGCGAAATAACGATGAGCTAGTGCTTGAGCAGCTGTTAAACGTCGATCTGGATCAAGGTGAAGCATCTTTTGTAATAAATCAACAGCTTTAAAAGTAAGAAAACGCAAAGGAAAAGGTGTACCATAACAACCTTTGCATGATCATTTCTTTACGATGTCAAAATATATTTATCTTAAGTATGGAACATTATATGGATGTTATATTAAAGCATTTAATGGTTATAAACTAATCAATGAATAAAGAATTCCCAAGAACAGACAAGCAGAAATATGCAAAACTACAAATGACTATAATTCAAAGACCGAACAACTCCGATAGTTCATATATTTATAATTCAGTTAATAAATAATAACAAGAATAGTATGACACAAAGCTGTATATAATTTCTTCTGGAGTTCCAAATGAAAATCATCTTACATAAACACGTTCAGTCAATTCAAAAACCAATGAATAATAGAGTGGGAGTAAAATGATTTAAATGGTAATATTCTGATCACTTTGAAGTTTAACTATTTCATGTATGAATAACAAAAAAGGTGATAGCCTTGGTTGCTCATGATAATGGGACAAACATTAAAAACCAGTAATAAAATTTTGAGATCATGCAGACGTCTCTTCTAAATATGAGCTAATAATGTTGTTCGGAAGGACAGTGAAAGCCTCATAACCAAACCATCCAGAGCAGAGACCACGACATCAACATTATACAGATTGAAATGAAAATCACCATACGTTCGAAAACAAGTGATGAGCTATTGAGATAATACGAGTATATAACTTACAATAATAGCTAAAGAAACTCTTTCAATATTATCTCCAACACCGGTTAACATTGTGCGTCGTGGTAATCGGTGTTCGGGCATACGTAAAACGTGGCCAGACCATCTCAGTCGATGAAGATTCACAACCTCATCAACTGATTTACCATCATTCCCTAATACTCTACGTCTAACCTCACTATTACTTACCCGGTGATTCCAGCAGACGCCAGCAATATTTCTAAGGCATTTGTGGTCAAATACTAGTAGCTTACGAGTATCTTCTACTCGATATCAACCGAATTCTTGTAAGAAATGTTTCTTAATAAACCTTCGAGATGGTTAACTTAGTTGGCGATATATTTTATCATTATCATATATAGTAAAAATATCCATGGGAGTTTAAACGAAAATGTTCGGCATTATTACCATTACCATTACACAAGAATACAAAGAACGAGTTTTCTTAATACACGATAGTGAAAAATATCAACAAGGAAATAGTTATCCGTATGAATTTATCGATGAGTGGTATTATTCGCATGAATCATAAAACGCCTCCATGGATGTAGTATAGAATAAAAATTAAATAAGTAAAATCTAACCAACAATTTTATGAAACACTTCAAGGTCACTACTCTATTATAAGCAGACATTGATCATAGTACCATTAAAAATTAGGCAGCAGTAAAAGTCATAACGTTACTGTTTTAGACTCATTAACAATATGTACAAAGTGACAAACTCAAATAGAATAGAAGCCAAGATATTTAGATCTTTGTAAAAAGCCAGATACTATTTAGACGTCGAGTGAGAATTCATTTCACGTAAACGAACTTAAAAAACATACGTATTACATCTTATTAACTTACCGTCACTTGAAAAAGAAGAAAAATATGTGTACAGATTTTGTGGTTCACATTTACTAATATCACGGATAAATCCACATGCCTTTAAAAATAAAAAATGCAAATATAAATGAATTTGTATGAGACAGGATACTAAAATGATTGAAAAAACAAAGCAAAGAATTTGCAATTAAATGCAATTACGTGGAAGTTATGTACTACTGTTTGTTATTAAGCTAAATCTGAAGTAATATTAATGATGATAAGCATAGAGAAGATACTTTCCATCCGAAACTGGAATAATATAAATTTTGAACTACCAATAGTATTTTTACATTTATTGATCATATTGTTATGCCTAATTTCAGATGAAGTATAAAACAGTAAATATGACTAATATTAATAAAATCTATACCTGATTTAATCAAAATATAATTTATAGTGCCCTGCAATATGATTAAGCCCCCAATTGACAAGGTACGGTTGAGGGTGGGGAGAGTCAGCTCCCCATCTCGAAATGCCCTCACATGGCAACGCATATACAGCCACTGTCAGGGAAGTTCTACTCATTGCCTTCTCGTGGCGGAGGTGTTGTTTACGAAATTGAGAGGACGAAAAGCGAATTCCCGGCGTTTTAACCGGGTCGGTAGATACGGAGGATCCATCTACGGGAGTTGGAAAACCCTGATCCCAAACCAATGGTACACATGGGCTCCAGGGTCCTGAGGCGAAAAATGGCGTATGAATCAATTGTCGGTGACCGGCTATCATGGGACTGCATCTCCTAACGTTGCTCCACTAACTTATGGATTAGACATCTAAGTGAAAGGCTCAGGAAGTGACCCCCCAAAGAAAACCGCCTGTTTCGGTCCGGGTACACGGGGAGTATCCCAGCCCACACACAGGTCGAATGACGAAGTGTGGAGCATGTATATTTGATATCAATTTGTACCAATCCTTATGTGTGTAAATAAATAGTGATAGATAGTGATTCAAGAATGATAGCGAAAGGAAAATACTTCAGTGCTTAATAAAATAAAAAATGATTAAAAGCAGAAAATGTCTATGGTAGGAAATAAGTAAATATTGGATACACAACTAATATTCTTTTGGAGATATTCATATACCAAAATAATAAACAGTTCACTTTCATAACTGACTGACCTCGTCTGAGGTAGAACACAAGATCCTGATGGTGTCACGAGTGAGGAGTTCTAGAATAGAACGAAACAATTGTCTAGTGTTACGTAGTCCTGAATGGTTTCCAAACTAATACTTGTCCGTAATGAAAACTAGCTAAAAACTGAAGTCTCCTAACATACTGGGTGAAATAACTATTTAAAAACCTCTGAGAAATTTATTGACTGTCATATTAAATAACCTTATCGTTTGAATATAATGACTGATTATAACAGGATGGGAATACATTAATGAATAAATACATGGATCCATACATACAATACAGGAGAAACCTTTACATCAGAATCAGTTCCAAGGTTTAAAAAAAGAACTTTAACAATCAAAGACAAATAAGTTACGACAACGCAATTTTATTACAAAAATAACTCAATAAAACAATATTTTGGGCTAGATATAAAATCTTATTTAGAATTATTACAAAGATAATAGTAAATTTTCTGATTTTTTTAAAAATAGATGGTTACATTATTATTATTATTATTATTATTATTATTATTATTATTATTATTATTATTATTATTATTATTAGTAGTAGTAGTAGTAGTAGTAGTAGTATCTGGAATAAGGATCGCAAAAGGGAGTTCAATTTGAATTTTTATTCTATATATTACGTCACCCATGTCATGTGTAGAACAATGGTGATAATAGTTGCCATCTTCCCAGACTGGAATCATATTAAGACGTAAAACTAAATAGTTAAAAAGTGAAAACCTTAACCATTGAGGTGAGACCTCACTAAAATTTGATGTATTAATGTAAGACAACTGAGGATTATGAATTAAATATTTTGTTAAAAACAAGTGACAAATTACGTTTCACAGTGAAATGGAAGAGGTAATCAGTAAGTTAATCAGCATAATAATGAATAAATGTCGTAACTGGTAATCATTACATTAATTATAGATGTATCAAAGTGTATAAGTTGGCACATAATTAAGGCAGAAATTTATAAGCGCTGATGTTGTAAAGATAAGAAAGCGACCACAAACAAATTTTACACTGCAATATCCGAATGGTTTAACATTAAAATACAAGATGTAACTAGAATTAAAACAGAACCAACAAACGAAAGGTAGTCTGTTATGCAGTATGAAACCTGACTAACCCAAATAACTGTTTGATATTCTTCTTAACTATACACTTTTTATTTGTTTTTGAGTTCTGTAGAAAATATGCTACGGATCAGTCAAATTAAATTAATTCGAAATAACTACTGTTAATTTCATATTATTAGATCAAATGATAATATGAACTACTTGAAAATAAATGAGAAAAAAACACCTAGATGTAACTGATATCTTTAGAAGTCATTTGCAGAATGTAAACATTAGAATGATAGGCTTTATAACATTAAAAAGTAGTAAATATCATGTTTAAACGAACGGCTATTTATTCAGCTAACATCACAATTACATGCCATGATGTCATGATATGTCATCGGTAATTCTTTAAAAGTAAAAGACAATAGTTACAAATGAATATATATATATATATATATATATATATATATATATATATATATATATATATATATATAAACAACACGAGAAACATATATTAAATATGATAATCATTCTGATATGTATATAAACTATGAAATTTACAATGTAATAATAATAATAATAATAATAATAATAAACACTTAAATAATCCAATGAAAAACAATAAAATTAATTTCTAATGAGAATATAATTACAAATTAGCCATCTATGAACTGAAAATTTATTGATACTCGATAATTTATTACAAACATTTAGTGTCGGTTGTAAAGTTATTCTCAGAAAATATTATTTTATGGGCTGTGTATGGTTTCATTTTAATGTGAAACAATCGATTTATGTAGGTGTTGACTGTATAAGTGAAAATTATCAATTAAACAAATTTTCATATTTATGTTTTACTATTATTATAAAAGAATGCAGTCAAACATAATTATTAATAAGATTAATTTAGTGTTCTCTAATAACATCAGCTTACAAGATCATTTGTTCTCTACAGTTAGTTATGTAAACCGATAAAAAAAAGAAAGGAACCACGGTCAGAAAAAAAGTATTGGTGAAGAACTCATCTAGAAAAATAAACACTAATAGTATAAAATATGAACAAACGCAGTGATAATGTAAATTGTTTTTGATTTAATCATGCATGACACGAGATATATGCTTCAAAATAATAGTTACATTTACTCTAAAACTTGTTTCACAAGGTTATTACTGTTTTAGAGAACTACAATAATTCAACTTGTCATATAAGTTCAGAGTTGTTTAGTTAAGGGTGAATGATGCAATGTTAGATAATATTAACTGATTATCCTAAGTAAAATAAACAGAACTAATTGAACCAATAACCTGATATATGATATTCTGAGCTAATATGTCTCAACTATTCCATAGCATTGTAATAACTATTATAAAGAAGTATTACATTTTGCATTCTCTGTAAAGCCTAAAAGTCAGTTAATTATTAATGTGAACGCAAGACATAGTAAACTGTCGAATTCAGTGTGAAGCTAAAGTTCTAAAAATCTATTATTTTATGTATTAGGTTTCAAGTTACTCCTTTTATGCAACAGATAGTGATAATGCCCGAATACGCAAACCAAAAAGGGTAAGGTGGGATTAGTACTTAGTATTCAACAGTTGAAAGTCAAGTGCCTCATACACTGAGCCACTTTGTTTATTTTAGTTTGAGCAGTAGAGTGGTATCACTACTCTTCATGTCTATATAAAAAATCATGTTTTGATTCACGAATTCGCTTAGAACATTAGATTTAAAAGAAGGTGTTTTTAATAACAAATGAACCAAATGTATTGTGTTGAAATGATACTATGAATGAGAGAGTTAAATTAATGGAAACTAGAAGTTGGTAAACATTGGAATATAGGGTATGACATGTATACCACCAATTACATTAAACAAACGAAATTTGACTTTTATACACAATGAAATAAACGGAAGCTTCATATATGAATAATAATAATAATAATATAGTTTGATATAAGATATTAGCTTATGGCTAATTTAATAGTATGGTGATCAGCAACAAGCAATAAACCCATAATTTGTTTGAATAGTGGGCTTTGTTACAAAAAAATAATTAGTGAGTGGTAACTGTCAATATTTTCTAATTTTCCTGGTAGATCACTATATTATTAATTAATTTATCAAAAAAATAGGTTTACACTGTTGATTAACTTACTAAACAGAGATTACAGGAAACTTACATCTAACATTGGATTTTTGTCGTTCTTGAAATTATTTTTAAAGGAAAAAAGGTGGTGAAAACGGCTGGATTCAAATCAAAACTTTTTTATTGTAAAGAAAAGTGTTGGTTTTAAGCAGAAAAGGGTGTAAGTTTGTTTCAGGCAAATATATAACGAAGAAGGAATAGAGTTAGTCAATCACCACCAATATACAGCTTGGCAAAGATGCGTGTTAGGCCAAATTATTTAAGTACTTATGAACATATCCAGAAACAGATAAGTACCTAATTAATTAAAATTTTCTGCAAAATGCATAGCCAAGTGTTATTTGAAATGATTTCTTACTTTTCCTAACAGAGTAATTCACAAAACAAGGAAGATATGAAGCAGCCTTTTTAACAGTATCGTGTAATAAGAGAGTATTGTAACATGAAAATTTCGTAACCAAGTCTCTTCACGGTTAATTTGATGTTTCGCACTTCCATATAAACCGCCAGTTGGAAAAATAAACTCCAAAAACTTTTATCACATAAGAAAAATGAAATTAATCGAGGTTTTCAAACATATTTTAGGCAAACACTAATGCTCAAACAGACATATGTAAAAGACAGATAAATCATTATTAACATAGTACGGAATAGTAACAAGAAAAATGCCAGGTTGAATGTAAGTTTTGCCAAGAACTGGAAATAGTTGTTATACTGGGGTCGATTCATGATGAAAGTACCATCAAATTGAACAACTACAAAACCACTACATATATATAGACAGATAAGTTATAAAAACATTCAAAACTACAAATATATATTTGGACAATATGGCATCTACATTTAACGCTAAGAGGCCAGATAAACAAAGTAAATATTTTCGTTTATGCTTGATAAATTTTATTAAATAAGACGTAGGAAAACTACTGCTATTCACGTTAAATTAATAGCGAAGCTCTAATAAATACTAGAACTAGAATCCAAATATTATATGATACCTCAAATTATTACGGTTTACTTGGTTAGAATTGAGTAAGCCAACATCTTATTTAGTATTTCTCAAAACGAATATGTACGTAAAAACATGTTATTCAGTACAATCACAAGAGAAAAGAGTACCAATAGTAAATTAGATAGATAGAAAAACAAATCGCTTACTTCAGGACTGTTAATTTTTCTCATAAATTCTTCATCAGGTTTTCCTAATAAATTGAGAATCAACTGAATTTGATGAATATGATTACCACCTTTAAATAAAGGTGCACGATTTCGCAATTCAGCCATAATACATGCAACGGACCAAACGTCAACTGAAAAAAAAAATATGGAGAAATTAAAAAAAATGAAACCATTAATCTCCTTCAATATAATACACATGTTCGATAAGCTGATCGATAACATATGAATAGTTCAAAGTTTACTCATAGTGCGATGAACGAAGAATTGGGTAGGGCAAAAAAATTCATTTTATCATGCGAAATCACATAGCATTTGTAAGATATGAAAACAATACATTGAATACACCAATTGTACATCTTCCTTTAATTGTCGCTTACAAATGCCATCGTTCTTCCATTCTTGTTGCTACTCTGACTGCCTTTGCTTTTCATTCTCTTCTCCTCATGTTCCTCTTGTGTCAGTAAGGATCCTACTTCGAAATCCTGATACATACTATTTACATCTGTCCGTATAAGCATCACACAACACAGTAGTACGGGTTACAAGGTTCGTCATTTTAAACACATCAAATAGATATCCTTATTTAATCCCACTCAATGTTATTGATAGTGTAATTGGATAAAATGGTATTCAGCTAATATGAGCAAAAGATATTCAGAAGAGAACAAGTCAGAGACAGTGGTAAACGCAAGGAATCGGTAACATAGAACAGCAAGTCCTTCAGCACTTGGAAGATAAAGTGTGGAAACACCTGTGTCAGAGATTGAACTCAAATCTTGACAGCTATTGAGAAACAATTATAAAGACGGTAGAAAATCATAAAATTAAGGTAGATATAATTTTGAAAGTGAAACTCTCTATCATTATGCTTGGTTTTAAGAATACTAGTACACAAATTGAAAACAATAATAATGGTCCAGAATATTTATGTCTAACACATACGTAAAACAACTTCAGTAGCAACTGTCCAGAAGAATACACAGAAATTACGACTTGACAAACACTGATTAATCGCTTAACTATTTTTACTATTACAGATTGTCTTCTATCGAAGCTGTTGCCAACTGAGAAACTTCTTTTCTGTTGTTATTGATAATAATACGATAAAAAAAAGAGTGTGTTTGCAGATTTATTTTCTATGAACTTGGTGTTTATGAAAAACGTAAAGATTAACATTTCTGTGAATAAGAAGAGATGAAAAAATTGATAAACCGTAAGAATAAATATGCATTTTTTTAATTACCAGATTCATTATAATGCATCCAATTTAACATAACTTCAGGTGCTCGATACCAACGAGTTGCAACATAACCAGTCATTTCTTCCTGTTTTTGGCGTGCTAAGCCAAAGTCAAGAATTTTCAATTCACAATCTTCATTTACTGCTATATTAGCTGGTTTTAAATCTCGGTGAATTAAGCCAATACTGTGCATATACTATGAAACGAAATAAAATAATACGCATGATTACATTAAATAATAGCATGTGACTACACAAAGCAGAAAAACGAATCATCAAGTGCATGTAGAAGAAAAAAACAGGAAGCATATCGCTGTAGTTCCAAAACATGTGAATGAAGACAACATAGAACTTTAATTTAAGCAACTACTAAGACTATATTTGATTAAGGAATTTTCCAGTAATATTGAAATTTACCTATCGTTCTTCACAGATAGAAGTTTAGAAAACAATCAAAATCGTCTATCATACGTGGCTAGCGTCTTAGATACTTGGTATATTCAGATAGATATAAGAATAAAATGTTTTCACCATGAATAACGTGGAGAAAAGTTTTAGTTAAAACAATATTATTCACCTCAAAATTTCTCTGAAAGTATACAGGTTTTATTACAATCACAGTATAAAAATATTGATAGTTATAAGATGACATTTTTTAACTAGTCTGTTATATTTGACGTAGGACCCGCCACGAATATACCTTAGTTCAAGTTGATGTATAACATTAACACTATGAGATGAAAGCAAAAAGATGAATGGGAAACGAATTCCAATAATGTTGTAACAAAGATTATGAGAAAGACAAAACACGGCAAAGCAGATACATTTAACCCTAAGAATTTTCAAGTAGCGTGCTGCTTATAAATCTGTGTAATAACAAACTAATAAAAGCCTAAAAATGCCACATTAAGATTCCCGATTCTATATTAACATATTCATTACAAGACCACTACAAAACATTTCTGAATACATACGGTCAACGATGTGCAGGTTTTAGTAACAAATTAAGATGAGACAGTTATTTGCTGTTGAATGGTTTTGATCATTTTCATAAATAGTATGTTGGAAGAACGTAATTTTCACCAGTAAATGTTGATTTTCACGGAGCATTTTATAGTTATCATTAGAAATATTCTTCTATGACAATTACTTTTACATAAGCTTCAGTTATAAAATTTTTTGAAAAGTTCAACAGTAATCCTACACAAAGAGCTTTACACTAAGACATCAACTGACATTTTTTAAAGCATTTTTTAAAATTTACAGAATAATAACTGTAGTCTACATGAAACACGTATTATGGTTGTCATATATCCGGAGGATTTTTTTAATCATTAACATTGGACAGATAATCAATGACATATTATGATTGTCTCAACAAATCTACCTTTACATAACTTCCAGAAACCATTTGCGTACTACAATGAATTCGATAACCCAGGTAATTTACTTAGACGATGATAAAATGTACTCCTCAAAGTTAACTCAACTTACTTTTAAACCCCTTAAAATCTGATACACAAGAAAACGTATTTGTTCATCTGATAACGATTGAGTTTCAATAATAGCTCCAAGATCAGCACCCATCAATGGTGTTACTAGATAACTGATGAGAAAAATTTAATCAAACAATAAAAAATTACTACAAAATGCATGTATTTACCGAACACAGATGTCAAGAGCAATAGCTTGCTGACAACCAATCTGTATTTAAGACTAAATAACATACTTATGTCTAGTTTCTCAGAGTATTTACTCATCATTTTATTAAATACGGTTGTATTAACCTTAGAAACAAATAAAATACATTTCGTCTAGCTATTATAGACATTATTGACTGAAACTTTTACATTTGTTAATATGATAATAATGACATATTTACGCCAGATGCGAAAATGCAGTAAACACTAATTATTTTAACTAACAGTTCAGTGAAATTTCAAATGAATGGCTGACTTTTTGTTAACTAAAGTTCTATTCACACAATATGACTCACCATTAAATTACCCTTCATATTTGTGCAACAATGGGTGAGTAGGTGAGCTTCATCTTTAAAACCAGTTAGTGCGTTCAAATTAAAAACAATGGGTTCACTTTACGGCTAAGTACACGAATCTACGTAGATATTGGATTACATGAATAAACTGTCTAACAAAAAGCAGATTGCAATCATAAGATCTTATTTTCTGAAATTCACGGTACACCAACTTTATTTCCTTAGAAGTACTACCCATTTGTAGCAATAAACTTGGGGTATTTCTTATTTAATTGTTCACTGATGAAAGTTTTCAAAACTTATTTCCATAATCTACCTCGTCGTTTCATATAGTTTCACAAATACTTGATTTGCTATAATTACATGTACAGACGATCTGTTTAAATTTGGTTCGTTAATAATTATCCAGACAAAGAGTTCGGAATCGGAAGCGGCATTACACTACACAACTTCGATAATAAGGTAAATAATGGTGGTACACGGTTGTTTTGCCATTGCACCAACCTTGCAATTTTTGTGGCCCTTATTGAAACGTTGGATCCGCTTGAAAAAAAGTTGTTTTATCACCATAAATACCCCCAAAGTTTTGCGGATACACTGAGATTTTACTACTCATTAAAATTGGATGCAGACCAGTCTGTAACTTTATTGGACATAAAGGGGGTATATAATTTTGTCAAAGGATAACCAATCGGCATTTACTGTTTTGTTACAAACTACATCAAAATACCGTCACGTGACATATCTGAAATATCGTTTCAAGTCACAAACTAAACTATCATTTCTATAAAAATAATGTCATTCAAAAATCAAATTATAAACTTTAAATTTCAACATACATATCTGTAAATTCTTTTAATGATGTCTGTGGTGAAAAGGCATCAATCAAACAAACGATCTATAAGAATAGAAAGAAGAATACAAATAGCATTGGTGATCAGGTGACACTAAAGAGATTAGCAACAAGAATTGACTACCATAACTTAGTAGTCTACAACACGACTTGAAACGAGAGCTATTAGAGTCGTGTATCAGTAGAGTAAAAGAATCTGTGATTCTACAATAAACTGATTCGTTATTGCAAACTTAAATCTAATTCAAAAATCATGCTAGAAAAATTGATAAAACAACAATATCCAGGCGTTAAAACTTATTTATTATTAGATAAAAAAGCAGACTGGTGGAATGTTTAGTTGAAATTCACATAAAAAACATACAATACTTCCATGATTAATTTAAAAACATTGGTGCCAATTTAATTATCGATGACCGACAAGAAAAAATAATACTACAAAAAACAGTTCCAAAAGTCGTACAAACACAGTATGATGTGAATTCAAGCTTAATCCCGCTCAGAATACGAGTTACATCGTTTTTAATAATTATTTTATACCTTCCTGTAGTTCTGAAAATCGTAGATATAACAGTTACCGATTTAGAGGTATAACCACCTTCACTAGTAGTTAACAAGTTAAATCAAATTGTATAGTAAATTACTACTAAGTCACTTAAATTAATGATGGCGAACAGTAAGCTTATCAGTACTGAGGGGAACAATACGACAATATTATGATGCGACGGATTATATAATTAACCCAGTTTCTAGCAAAGGTCAATCATGAACTTCACACCTTAACAGTATTATCACTATCTACAATTTGCTGATTGATTAGTAATAGGATCATTTGAAGATTTCCTATAACTATTTAAATATAATAATAATTGTTACATATATCGAAACCATAGTAATGGCTAGTGTCGTAGTACTTGGGTACATAATAACAAATGAAGCTACGTTATCACAAATGAGTGGTAATTAACAACATAAGTTGATGTACATTATGCTTAGTTTCAGCAAAGGAAATTAGTGTGGAGCAATAAACCGACAACTTCCAAACTAACTGTAGCTAAAAAATAAAACATTACGTATCTACTTATTTCAATATTAATTAAATTAACCCGAAATTATCAAGTAATTAGTTATTTGATTACTTTCTTAACAAACTACAGACCCAATACTTTTTTGAGTATTGGATCTGATGGCCAGAAACACGTTTTTATTGACTTACATTTTCATGATCCATTTGAGATAAAATATTGATTTCCCTATATGTTCGTTTCGTATATTCAATATTTTCAAAGGGTCTACTCAACTTTTTGATGGCTACACGACGGTTTAATTTGTTATCGTGGGCAGAACTGCATATATTGAGGAAAACAGATAAACGACAACAATTAATAATGGAAAATTAATTATGTAGCATGACAGATGAGTGAGGTACTTAACATACACTGAGAAATTTACAATTACTTAAACGCTATAGCAGCAGTCACATCGGCAATAAAAATAGAAATTATAAGATCAAGCTGGAAAATTATGTGATGGGAGTTAACCTCGAGAAATAATAACACACATACTATTGGAGAATAACTTGGACAACCCGTTTCCCAAGTGCGAACAAACAAACGAGTTACGACTTCTAACAAACCTGGGATGTAAGGGTATGAAAAACTTCATAAAAGTGGAGACAGAAACGGGTTTTAATGAGCTTCCAAAGTTATTTTTTCAAATAACTCTGTCCCTCTCTCATGTCAGAGATGCATACATTGTACTTTGTCTTTAATGCTTGAACATCCCATCAAGTAACGTTGTCTAATTTTTACAACTAGGACAGCAAGTATGGGCTAAATATCCTGTTATGACTTTATGTCCAGCTTTTTATCACCTGATTTATCCACCAATCAAAATGAGACTTATACAATCTTCGCACTGTGCCAAACCAATGACGTTCGACCGGTATGGGGAGTCTAGCGTTCTTACTGGTCCTATGTCCGCCTAGCCCGTTCACTTGAGTCCAGAACACCTAATACCAGCTTCTAATATGCGAATCGAATCGAATCATTTATTTCAGACATACTGGGTTTAAATATCAATCAAACAGACCGCAACGCATCATTAAATAGGAAATAACATTTGTACACAATAAAGCCAAAACGTGACTGTGAACGTGGGAGGTAGTAGTTAATAAACTGAACATAGTTTAGGAACCGTAAATCGTACAATAATAAATTATAGATCAAAATAAAGCTTATAATAAGAGGAATATAAATATACACAATTTAATTATTGAATAGTTATGCCATAAGAATGTATGGATAATATTAGTCAATTAATATGTCTCAGAAGTTACTTGTGATTTAATCCTTGCTCGGATATAACATATCCCATCCTAAATGACTGTTTGTTTAAGCCATGTTCGTAGATGTAGACTATCTAATTGGAGTCCGCGAAAATAACAATTAGTAGTTGAAGATATTGGGTAGCAAGGTTTATAAACGGTCACAATGAGGCAGATACATTCACTCTTTATCTCTCGTTGGATCTTCAGTTACAAATTTATAAAACAGTTGAAAGGTTTAAGAGCAGCAGGAGGAAATGAATAATTTTAGTCTCTTTCTATAGAAATTTTGAAATTAAAGTTGCCAACATACAAACTTCCCTTATTTTTTCAATAGGTTAAAACTTATCTTTTTAAAGGTTGATGAAAATGAGTTGAGTTTAAACTTAGTGAACCGTTGATTTCCGGGGTTAAATGAGCACTACGCTTACAAACTCTTATCGATTGTTTATTGGAGAGCAAATATTTCAACTGTGCAATGAAGTGAGAGTAAATTACATATTCGAGGACAATTACAAAACACAAAACACGTGTGACCTAGTTTAAATTGCATTAATCCCATTCAACAAACGATAGCTTTAGTACCAAGGTTTATTTTATTTTAAACAGTTTGCACATTAAACTACTCAATCAGCAGAGCACAAAGAAACAATGCGAAATAAAGCGTATTAGATATTCTGTGACAGTGATCCTAATAGTTGGATACTTGATCGGAATTATGAGATGTCACTAATGCTCGGTAAAAGATAACTCAAGACAAAATAATATTCGGAGATATATGGATAAATATGAGTGTATGTAAGGTTTGTTAATGCTGACATACCAAACAGTTCCGTACGCCCCATACCCGATCATTGAAAGTTCATTGTATCTTGACGGAACACACCATTCTACTTGGTTCAGTTGTAATGATACAAAGCCAGATTTCAAACTCTTGGCGGAAGACATGAATCTGAGAGAAGGTAATTAAAAACTCAAAGATTAAGGGCACATAGTTATTATTGCTGAACAGCAAGTAATGTACATTCTAATAAAACAATAAGTAAAATCCATATGTGATGATAAAAATCATTTTACGTACTTTTAGAAATGATTAGTGGTCGTTTTTGAACTGAATAAGAAGTGAACTACTTATTTAGGAAACTTAGTTGTTGTACAAGGATGGTAGTAGTAGTTGTTATGAAAAACCTTCTGCATTCAAAGGCAAACGTGCACCTTCTATTGATGGCATCTCTATTATAAACAAAGACGAAATATTTATAAAAATATTTATTTATTTATTTGAACATATAAATATTGGTACAATGGGGCACCAAATATATATGCATCACACAATAACAATGAGAACTGGGAGAGAAAAAAGATGTAAGACGCGTATAAGAGAGAAGAAAGGAAAAAGGAGAACAATAACGTCTCTAGCCATTGTGTTGCACCATCTATCGGACCCAAGCCAAGGAGTCGAGAAGGACCAACAGAAGCCAGCCCTTTGCGGCTTTCTTTCATACCACGACACCATGTCATACACTAATCACCTCTCCGCTTTTTCCAACCAGTCCCAGCGTCTCCCAATAATGCACGACGTGGAATTCTCTGGGATTACATTCGTAGAACACGTCCAGGCCACCGAATTCGATGCTTCAAGTTAGTGACACCAATTGAATTATCGTCTCTGCGCCCAAACACACGATGCCGAACTTCTGCATTACTAACATGGTGTTGCCACTGGATGTCGACAATCATTCGGAGACAGCGATGATCAGACACAGAGAGTCGTCTAACATCCTCAACTCGGAGAGACCAGGTTTCACAAGCATAGATCAAAACTGCTCTCGCCGACTCGTTGTAGATCCAACCCTTCACAGCAAGACTAACATCATGAAGGCGCCAAAAAAGGCCTAAATTGGCATAAGCCACTCTGGTTTTCATTTTACGTGAATTGGTATTGTTGCTGATATCACTACCAGCACTTGTGTAGCCACCTAGATACACGAACTTCTCGACTACTTCTATCTGCTCACCTTCCAGGGTGAGTACAGGATTAGAATCCTGCCAGTCTTGTAGAAGTATTTTGCTATTCGAAGGTGCAAAGCACATACCGTACCTACGGACACTGGTTGCAAACTGATTAAGTGCGGATTGCATGCCTTGGGCATTATTGCATAGTAAAACGACGTTATCCGCATACTCAAGGTCGAGAAGTCTAGCTCCAGGCAACAGATCCACACCACCATTACTTACATCCATCAGAGCTGTTTTCAGAATGTCATTGATGGCAAAGTTGAAAAGGAATGTTGAAATCGGATAACCGTATCTGACTCCACTGCTTGAATGGAACAATGGAGAAAGGTGGTTTTATGCATTTATAAAAATAATACATATAAGAGTTTATGAGTGAAAATGGAATTGTTTTTTGCCATGTATTATACCACCTTTATTAGTGGCACGAGACATGTTTGTCACAAAAGGAAAATGTATCCCACGAAGTAGCTCAACACCTTGTTTTCTAGGACAAAAAGTTTTTGATGCCTAATAAATGTATCACAGTAAGACCCAGAATGAAAGACATACATATAATACTATTGCATACAACCACTTGGATGACCCAGTCTATGAGTGCTGAGTGGCAAGCAAGAAACTTTGAAATTGAGTCTTCAGAAGGTAATTATTCATAAAGGCTTCAAAATACAGTATACGTCAATGGAAGGTATGAATCCTATTAACAAAACTTCAAGTAAAATACCTTGATTGCCATACACAGTAGGACTACTAAACAACAGAATCAAGCGGAGGCAATATCAGAGACGAGTACAGGCATGGCGGCAGTAGACAAATATGTATTAATTGACAAATGTCTCACGACCTAAATACACAGAATGTATAAGCAACTTCTAGTTTACAACCAATCCCTGTTGACAAGAATTACTTGATAAAATTTCTTGTCAATCCCAAGATTTTCGTTCAGAAACATATCATCATAGGTCACAAGAACGATTCTCGGTTTCCTCTCGAAACTACTATACATTTCACAACATGGTATTTAGAAAGTCTTTGCATAGTAGTTTACCATCTAAAGTAGATCGAGTATAAGTTCATAAAATCAGGTGAGTTCATCGCTTGAAAAGCTAAATACCAGTATGTAATATCGCAGTTTTTATGGTTATGTTCATCTCCTAATACGCAATAGATTGTAAATAAACGGAGTACTACTGAATCCCATTAACAGTCAGGACACCATATGATGATACTAAGGACTTAGATGGGATGACGAATGATAAGGACTTGTTTGCCCACCTCAAAGTCAGCACGTGGTCACCTGTATATGGTAGGACAAAGTTATTGTTCAGATATCTGCTGTAGGGGGTAATACATAGGTAATGAGTCTTTGAAAATATGTGAGCATAGATCTCCGGAAACATGGCTCATTGTAATGAAGCCCGGAGATTCACGGAAGACAAATTCAAATGCGAAACAGCTCCTATTCTAGGCAAGGATATTAAGCAACCATGTATTCGAAACCGATCAGTAGATAAATAATACTACGGGGAAATTTTTAAGTAGAGGATAACTTCGCTCAATGGATTAGGTCATCCCATTTTCACAGCTTTCTTGTGTTTTGCGAAGTTTACATGTACTAAGAACTCCCAATACTGACCCCTGGAACTTGACAGCGAACCCAACTACAATATACACAGCGCTTGGACTCATACGCTGAAGTGGAGAGAGTTTAAGAACATCTAGGACGACTAACAACATAACTTTTATATAACGCAATTGAAACTAGGGGATGATTATACGTAATCCACAGAACGAATGGAATTCCATTACCGTTAACAGGATTTACGAATATCATGCGGTTTATTTCTATCCTCTATAACTTAAATTTAACAAGTCCAAAGGATCTAAGTCACCTCATAAGCATGGGAAAAATGCCTAAGAACAACCTCAAGTAAGCGAACGAAGTAAAAATAATTTCATTACTAAGTACGAGATATCACGTGCAAACACTACTGGATTTGATAGAAAGTAGTTGAGAAGTTTTATGTCTAAAAACGTCTACTGGCGAGAATAAACAGGTTAGAATACATTATATGCACGATATTGGTACAGCTAGGTAAAGGACAAGTAAATCCAAGACATACCACATGTAAAGGGCCTCAACACTTGACTCTTTAGGTCCCGTCAGTGATTGGAAAACACGGACCTGGCAGTGAACAAGCAGGGAACTATCTATAAGTAGGAAGTACAAAAAATATATTTAAGAAGTTAAAACGATAACTCAGCTCATCATATTTTCCTCAAAATATTTAACAACGTACTGAACGAACAAACAGACTGAAAAGCGCGCAACAAAAGCGGACGCAACCGGTCACAACGCACACTAGCAGATAGTGCGCCATGTAAATCTAATTTCAATGCAACTGTCGTAATAAATGACTAAGTCATGTAGCTAAAATTGTTGTGCCTGATTGCCTGACAAGAGTGCACTCATTGTTATTATTTTTATATGTGGTTTTGCCTCAGCTTATTATTTGGTTTTCACAGTTTTCAATGTCAATACTAGTTTTAATATATCCTTGCCTTTTTAACCATCCATTTTTGATCCGTTTCAAGAGAACGTTTCTTGTTGTTTTACGGTCGTAAACTCGCTAGAATTTATCTGCTAACTCACATATAACCGTGATCCTGAAGAACCCATGCAAATGAAAAGGTTGGTTTAATGAGACATCCACGTATTTTATAGTCAGTGCTTACAACATACTTAGTAAGTCAGATCGTAGGTGAGTATGTGGCAGTTGCAACATGATACTAAGAATTTGTTGGATAAATTCATAATTCTCTTAACAGGTTCGCGTAAAATGTCGTCAGCCAACCCAAAAAAGCGGTCCTGAAACGGACATACAAACAAAGGCGCACATTGAGATAGTAAAGGGAGTCTTTAACAACAGTAATATTGATGGAACACACATTAACACTAGTAAGAACACGCTGAAGCTCAGCAGCAACATAAAGTCAACAGTATTAAACGCTCGTCAAGATCAGGTCTTCCGACACAGTCTCCCTAAGTGCATCTGTGGTCCCCCAAGACCTCCGCCGACAAAGTTAAGGAGCATAGAGTGTCACTATCAAAAAGACTGAACAGTTCAGGTCTTGTAGTCAAATCAGTTAGTGTTTTGGCCAGGAATCTTATCCCTAAGATTGTGCAACCAGTAAGTTAAGAGGGCGAAAATCCGAAATTCATTCAAACTAGCCAACTAAAAGGATTTCAACCTCAATGTACATGAAAACCTAGGAAAACGATCACAGTTCGCGATGATTCTTTCATAATCATGGACCGTAAAGATGGCTCTGATATTCTTCTCAGTCTGTAGAACAAAAATGACAGGACGTACTGTGAAGCGTTGAACAGGAAGCTTGAACTCTTCAGATTTGAACCACTCGTAGTTACACGGCTCACTTGGCAGTGAAATTGAAGGCACCAAAATCACTCGAAACTCCGTGTAAAGTCTCCTAACACTTCCGACTCATAGGATGTTTTGCTGAATAGTCACTTGCTCAAATCAGATGCGGATGTAAGAATACTGCATGATATACCATATTCTGAGCACAATCTTATCAGAAACATCCATGGATGAGAAATATCAATGTTCAAGGTGTGCTAGAAAATACGAACCCTGATGACGCAGACACTTTTATTCGGTAGTGGACATGTATAAGGCAGTCCGTGGGGTTCAAGAATATATTGACTCGTCAAGTGATGAGACTAGCCAAGAAGGGTCAAGATTCTAGATCCCGACTAATGAAAATAGCCTTCACATCTCATATAGAGACTGCCACTTTCGAAGCATTTCATGCGAACAGAAATCGGTCGTCAACTGGACTCTGCATGCACCCGGACAAGCCATATGAAACAAGGATCAAGCACGAAAGGAAGTTGGAAATGACTATTC